TTCAAATAGTTTCATTTTTTCCCCCCACTATATGATTTTTTTTTTTTTTTTTTAATGTCTTTCTGGTGCTGAAATTCTGTAGAAATTATGAGTTGGTTTACTGGTGTATGGGGGGAAGAAAACTTTCTCTTTCTAATTTTTTTTTCCTTCTCTGTTGAATCACACGTTTTAGCGTGGAAAGAATTTTTCCATGAGACCTACAAGTTTTATGGCAAACCGCAAAATGAGCCCTTTTGTTCATGTGCTTAGACTTGTGTTCCAGTTAGACTGACTTTTGTAGACTCCACAAGAGTATTTTTGACATTAGAAACTAGTCATGCTTTACAATTCACTTACTAGATTGTTCTGTAAAAGTCAGAGAACAAAAAAATGTGTGGCTGATGGTGGAATCAGAATATTAAGATATTTACTTACGAATGATTTAGATTCTTCTTCTTCTTTTTTTTTCTTTTTTTGTCTGTTAATCTCTGACTCTGTGTGTTTTGGTGCAGTATCCAAGGGGGTGGTGAATGGTCAGAGTTAATATGAATTCTGACTGTTGCTGCCTGTCACATTACCTGACCCACTTATTTCCTCTGCAACTATACTTTTGTTTATTTTTTTTATCTACAGAATAGGATTTTTTGAGGTTTTACTTTTAAAGTGAAACTTCTCCCAAAACATTTGCCACATCATTTTTCTGGGAGGGAGCGGGTACCTGGTTTGACAGGTACCAGCTCCTCCACTTAGGTTGGATTCCCTTGTGATCTGAGCAGAAGTTCAATCCCCCCCCCCTCTTCCCCCGCAGCTTTCTGGGACACGTCACAGGTCCCAGAAAGCTGCACGACCAATCAGTGCGCCTCGTGCATGCGCAGTGGGCAGCTAGCTGTGAAGTTGCAAGCTGTCACAACCAGCTGCCCACAGTATGCCAGACCCGGGGACCAAAGCCAGTGAAGAAACCGGCCGAGTGAGGACAGCGCTGCATCCTGGGACAGGTGAGTGTCCAATTATTAAGCCAGCAGCTACAGTTTTTTTTTTTTTGTAGCTGCTGACTTTTAATTTTTGAACAGATTAGTGAAAAACCGCTTTAAAGTTGGAACACACTTCCAGGCAAATGTCTAAATTCTCCTAGATTCCTACACTATATTGCCAAAAGTATTGGGGCACCTGCCTTTATACGCACATGAACATTAATGGCATCCCAGCCTTAGTCCATAGGGTTCAATATTGAGTTGGCCCACTCTTTGCAGCTATCACAGCTTCAACTCTTCTGGGAAGGCTGTCCACAAGGTTTAGGAATGTGTCTATGGAAAGGTTTGACTATTCTTCTAGAAGCACATTTGTGAGGTCAGGCACTGATGTCGGGCAAGAAGGCCTGGCTCGCAGTCTCTGCTCTAATTCATCCCAAAGGTGTTCTGTGGGGTTGAGGCAGGCCAGTCAAGTTCCTCCACCCCAAACTTGCTCAATCATGTCTCTATGGACCTTATTTTGTGCACTGGTGTGCAGTCATGTTGCAACAGGGGCCATCGCCGAACTGTTCCCATTAAGTTGGAAGCAGGAAATTGTCCAAAATGTCTTGGTATGCTGATGCCTTAAGAGTTCCCTTCACTGGAACTAAGGGGCCAAGCCCAACCACCTGAAAGACAACCCAACACCATAATCCCCCCTCCACCAAACTTTATACTTGGCACAATGCAGGCTGGCAGGTACTGTTTTCCTGGCAACCGCCAAACCCAGATGCGTCTGGATTGCTGGATAGAGAATTGTGATTCATCACTCCCAGAGAACACGTCTCCACTGCTCTAGAGTTCGGTGGCGGTGTGCTTTACACCACTGCATCCGATGCTTTACATTGTACTTGATGATGTAAGGCTTGGATGCAGCTGCTCAGCCATGGAAACCCATTCCATGAAGCTCTCTAAGCATTGTTGTGCTAATCTGAAGGCCACATGAAATTTGGACGTCTTCAGCTTTGACTCTGTAGACAGTTGGCGACTTCTGCGCACTGTATGCTTCAGCATGCACTGACCCCGCTCTGTCAATGGTCTACCACTTGGTGGCTGAGTTGCTGTTGTTCCCAGTTGCTTCCACTTTGTTATAATCCCACTAATCGATGACAGTGGAATATTTAGTAGCAAGGAAATTTCACTGATGTAGTTATTGCACAGGTGGCAACCTATCATGGTACCACGCTTGAATTCACTGAGCTCCTGAGAGCGACCCATTCTTTCATAAATGTTTGTAGAAGCAGTCTGCATGCCTAGGTGCTTGATTTTATACACCTGTGGCCATGAAGGTGATTGGAAAACCTGAATCCAATTATTGGGATGGGTGTCCCAATACTTTTGGCAGTATAGCATATGTAAATGTTTTAATATGCCACGTGATTTTTGTAATTTTGTTCAGCAAATTTTGTAGCCCACCCTCCCCTGCTGGTTGGTGACTGACCTAATCACCACTATAATTTGATGCCGATTAACCCCCCCCCCCCCCCCAAACTGTCTGGTCAGTACCATTGTGATGTGTTGGCGCATGCACTTTTAATGTGTTATGCCACACATTTACTGAAGGTTTCATTAGGGCAGCCCAGTCATTTGAATGGATTGTCTAAAACACCACTAAAAGATGCATATGCCATATCTGGCAGCACCCACATGGCTGTCACCAATGTGAATTTGGGTGCTATTCAGAGTGAATGGCACTGCATCCCACCAACACATGTAATGTGCATTCCTGCAACACAATACTGTGAATGGGCCCTATAGGAACATCCCCACATTGTTGAGATCATCTCTTGCTAACTTTTCTCCTGTCTGCTAGAGACAGGTTTTAGTTTGACAGCAATGTGACAATGTGCAATGAAGTAATGCCTGACTTGCTGACACAGCAGAGTATGTGTGTGACTTGGAGTTCAGCTTTGAGAGGAGCGATGGGCATAGTAACTGTTTTATACTGTGTATTTACACATCGCTGGCATATTACGTGATGCTTTAGGCCGGGTCCACACCAATGTGCTATGGTTTTAGGTACAGCCATTTGTTTTTGGGAAGCTCATCAAAGATGCAGCATAGCGGACTTTGATACGCTTTCATGGAAACATACAGCCAAATAGAAGTCAGTGGGAGTGCACCTGAAATCGTGTGTAAAAAAGCATATAAATTGCACTGCAGCATGTGAGTGTGAACCCAGCCTAAGGGAGAATAGTACTTGTATGGGAATTTAGAATTTCAACTGCTTGCCCTTAAGTTAAAGAGGATCTCATGTTTAAACCTTACTGAAATGACTTGTTTATTCTTCTGTCAGTGTGTGGGAATAGTACATTCTGGACACGGTGTGGTCACATGACAACTTCAGGGCTGCGGAATGTACAGCTTGTATTTGTGAGCAGTACCTTGTGTTACTTCATATTGACTCTTGCAGCCATTGAGAAGCTATTGACCTGAGAATATCAAGGATCACACTTCACTTGAGGTGGAAAGTGATTAGCTGTGCTGAGTATTGACTTGCTTGGTGCTTCCATTAATTATTGCATCAAGATTTGTGTCATGTGCAGCAATGCTGGACATGTTTTTAAAGGAGAACCATGTAGAAAGGGTTTTTGCATGGTTTGGCTTTAAATTATGGATAGTAAAATAATGGCTATTAATTTGTTTTAATAAGAGAAGTGTGGGATTGTGGGTTTTTAAATTGTATTTATTTTTACTAATAAATCATACTTGCCTAAGTAGAGGCAGTGGATCCCCCGTCGGCTCTAAGGGTGAGAAGAACTCGGCGATCACATGATCTGAGTTCTCAGTCACTCTGAGCAGAGTCTTACCCCATGCATTGACCTAAATAGTGAAACTTCTTTCAGTATCTTGGGAGCATAGCCTCATGCACACGGGGCGTCTGTTTAACTCATAACGTCAGAACTCCTGGCAGGAGAAAAGCTGCTTAAAACACAGTAAAGGCCACATATTGCACACGTTTTTAGGTATAGTAAGCTTTTCAGTGTTCATGGGTTCCATTGGCCAGAATATTCACTTGTTCTGGCCATTGGAATGCATTCACACTCAAGGCCTGTTTAGCGGTTTTTCTGCTGATCAGCTCATCTCCTTGAACACGCAGCGTCTTTCGTGGGTTTGTCTCAGCCTGTAAATGCTCCTTTTTCTAATACAGCTGTGAATGTGTAGAGAGAAAACAGGTGGCGCACACACCTAGTGCATTATCCAAGGTTTATTGTAAGGAGTGAAAGTAGAATAAAAACATACTCACAGACGAAGCATGTATCTAAAAAGCATAGAAAAATGACAATGGCCACAATGGCAGGCAAGGTGTTCTCACTGTCAGTGCGGTCAAAGGGTTGACGCGTTTCGGGGACAAATCCCTTTCCTCAGAGCTGATGACCAGCCTCTGATGCAGATGTGTGATGAATGGAAAGTAGGAGCCTTGCTGTTGATGCCTGAGGCAGGTGTGTGCGCCACCTGTTTTCTCTCTATCCAGTGGCTGATTTCCTCGTCTGAGGAGGGCTGCACCCCTGAAGCATTTCCTTTGGTTGTCGCTGTCCTGGTACCCTTGGCTTCCCTTTTGGCTGTGCATATCCTGAGGCGCTGGAGAGTACGTACAATATCTGGTTCAGCTGTGAATGTGTACATGGACACACAGGCTTACCTAGAGGTACTTTTACAGGTTGAAAAAAAGAAAAGTGGTGTTTTTAAGGCCAGTGTGAATGAGGCCATATAGTTATTGGATCAGCCCTTTGAATTTGGAAAACCTAAATTTAGAAAAGCATTCTGTAACTTTCAGACTTACAAGTACATGTTGAGACCAAAGACTAGTGTTCAGATGTGATGATTTGATCCCTTTTGTATAAGGTCTTTGTTGGGATCATGATTTACTGAGCCTACTACAAGACTGTTCTATGTTATCTCTGTTTTAAACTTCGGAAATAAGAACACATAACTTGTAATTTTAGTGTATAGAAATATTAATACTTCCTGCATTCTTGCTGCAGATTCAGTCTAATTGCCTCCATTCTTTTTCAGCCTCCCTTGGTTCAAGCTATTTTTAACGGGGATCCAGATGAAGTTCGTGCGCTGATATTCAAGAAGGAAGATGTAAACTTTCAGGTAAAAAGATTATTATTGAAAGTAACAGCGAGCCCAGATTGTATAGTTATTTCTAGAATTATTATTATGGACTTTTAAATGAATTAATGCTCAAAAGCTTCAAGTGCCTAGCATTACACACGAAAAGCATTTTTCTGCCAAAGCACAGCTGCTTTTGATACGTTGGCAGTGTTTTTTTTTTTTTGCCTATAAAAGCCCCTGCCTCTAATTGTCTGTGTGCATGGACACATAGGGTAACATAGAAGGATGTTTGAAGGCAGAAAAAAAACCCACCAGATATGCCTTTAAACAGCGGATTTAACGGTCAGGCATGAGGCCTAAATCTTTCTTTCTTTTGTAATGATTCCTAATGAGCTTGGATTTTAATAATTCGGTTGTGGAAGTACAATAAGTGATATTCTGAGGCGTGTCTGTCGTGGCCTGTATGACAATACTTTGTATGTTATTAAAGGAAGCACCATAGAGAGGGTTTTGCACTGTTTAGCTTTAAATTATGGATCGTAAATAAGAGGTTATTCATTTATTTCATTAAATGGGTCTCTTATAATGCATTTGTTTTACAGTGGATAGTCTTAACAGGCTTTTTACTATTATAAAAGTTAAGCAAAAGAAATTACATGCCATTATACCCTGAAGGCCCAACCTCCTTAACTGCGAGGTCACAGGTTTCACCTGTTTTCCATGGCAACATTCCTGTAAAGGCATGTTTGATGAGGAATTATCATAACTTTCTGCCGTGCTGTTTGTATATTCTCACGGTCCATTGCAATTTTTTTTTTTTTTTTTTCAGCCCCTACTTAAGGATACTGTAGTTGGGTTAAGATGGCCATAGACGAATCAAATGTACTCGGTTCAGCGGGAACCAGCTGAATTTCGATTCATCTATGGGCCTGACTGTACGGAATTCAAATTCAGTACAACCAGCCTGTTGGGGTTTTTTTTTTCGTATGGGCATTGTTAAAAATCAAAAGACAAAGGGTGTAGCGCTGTAAACATATAAAAATTTCAAAGTATGCCAATAAGTCCACATATAATAACCATAAACGCATGTGAAACCATAAACGAATATATAATCTTAAAACAGAAGAAAATGCAGCAGATGAACTTGTGACTCCAGCCGATAGTGAAAAATGCGCACTCACCGGAAGCGCATAGATAATTGCACATAAATATAAATCCTCGAGGTATACTGGACAATCCGGTGAACTTTCCTATGGTGCGGTCATCAAGCCGTTAGGGAAGTATTTAAATCCACTGGATCTAGAGGTCCCCTTAAGATTGGTGAGGTGATCAGCCTGGATATGGGGCTCCTATTCCTCCGGATATGCTGGATACTATCAGGTACCTGTGGGCTTAATAGCTCCAGACAGGAGCCACAAAAGAAGTGCCCATAGTGTAGTAGATTAAATGACTTTATTGTAGTACCGCATAAAACAGATGGGGTATAGTGATGAGCAGAAAGAACACTATACCTTGATTAAAATGGCCGCCCGGGCTTCTTTCCAGCTCTAGGCGGCAGTAGTGTCATGTGCTGTCTGGTTCCTCCTGAGGCCTTTCGTGCAATGGCACTTCTTCAGAGTCCACCTTACTCTGTTTGGTCCGTAAAGTGGTGATCATGGAACACCCCTGCTGGTGATGATGGGGCACCCTTTTTGCTGACCAATGTGAAAAATTCAGTGCTAAGAAATTTTCTCACAGCCACCAGTCCAATAGCACAGGCTATGTAAGTTGTCTTTCTAATTCTGTATAAAATGTGTGAATATTCTGCACGAGCTTACAGAGCGAGTCAAACTTAGTGAACTTTCTAGCTATGATAACGTTGCCTCCTGATATGCCAACCCCCCAGACAGAGGCGGCTTCGTTGCCAAATTGCTTCTAGACTGAAACTGGCAGCCTGGAGAAAGAACAAACTTTTACTGTGGCCATGGGTTTGTTTACATGTCGGCATCCCTGCTCTGTGGTTTTGCGACAGCAGTAGAGAGTTAAGCTGGCCATACATCATACAATTTTCCTTTAGATTTCTCAAATACCAAATAATATGTCAACCCTAATCAACTCTTTCAGTTTGTACCCAATCAGGCATTCCCTTGTACTACATAGCTGAAGGTAAATCTAAGGCTCCATGCACACGGGGCGTTTTATTAACTCTGGTAACGTTAGTTGTGTAAAGTCATGTTAAAAACATGAGTTTTTCAGCAGTTTTTAGCGTTTTTGTATAAGCGTTTTGCCGAGTTCTTTTCGCATTTGCTTTTTTTTTTAGCGTTTTTAGAGTATTTTTTTACCAAAAAAAATTGTTTTTTTCTGTCACAAGTCCAAAAACTGGTTTTACTGCATTTGGCCGCATTAGAATGTTTTTCCAGCTAAAAACCTCCTCTAGAAACCCACTAGTTCTGGGGATTTGTTCCAGCCAAAAAATGCTGATTACAGCCTGTGTGCATGGACACATAGGATAACATGCTGGCTGTAGAAAAAAAAGCCAAAAACAGCAGCTAAATGTTCAATGTGCATGAGGACTAAAGGAGATTGTACAAGAAAATTATATGATGTATGAACAGCTTGTGTGTGTGTATAGGCAAATCTTCTTTTTTTTTTTTTTTTTTTTTTTCTTCCCTTTCTTTTTTTAAGCTTTGGATAGAGTGGGGAAAGGTTAGCCAAGTTTTCATTGTTACCATGTCTGTAAGTGAGGGTAAAATCTAAAATGCTACAGTTGTCATGAGTGCAAGAAGTGAGGATAAATCTTCCAATGGGACAAGTGTTCTGGTGACAACTGTTTGAGGGGAATCCCTATTTTAGTTTTTTGCTTCCTGCTGCATCTCTAAGGTACACAATAAAGGAAAATGTGCCTATTTGGTCACAGCAAAAAAGAAGCTGATAGGAATTTTAACCATTCCCTACTCCTAAACTAAACAAACCTTTAACCACCTCCCGCCCACTATATAGTAATATGACGAACGCAAGGTGGTTCTCTCGTTCTGGGAGGACGTCATATGACGACATCCTCCCATTCTAACCACGCATGCGTGGCTCCCGGAGCACGCGGCAATCGGCGGTGCGCTGTATCCCTCAGACACAGCGGATCACCGATCCACGATAAGAGCTGAAGATGTTGGCTCGGTCATGTGATCAGCTGTGTCCAATCACAGCTGATCACATGTAAACAGGGAAATTCCGGTTATCGGCATTTCTCTCCTCTCGAGCTGTCACGCTGACAGCTTGAGAGGAGAGACGGTAATCGGCATTCCGCGGAGGGGACATGTACATTGATGATCAGGGCACTGATCCATCAGTGCCACGTGCCAGTGCCACATCAATGCCACGTATCAGTGCCTACCAGTGCACATCAATGCTACATATCAGTGCCCATCTGAGCTACCTTTCAGTGTCACCATCAGTGCTACCAGTCAGTGCCAGTCAGTGCTGCCTATCAGTGTCCATCAGTGCAGCCTATCAGTGCCCATCACTGAAGCCTCATTAGTGCACATCAGTGAAGGAGAAAAATCACTTATTTACAAAATTTTATAACAAAAATTTTCAGTGGTTTTTGGTTTAAGAAAAAATAAAAAACCCAGAGTTGATTAAATACCACCAAAATAAAGCGCTATCTGTCACAAAAAAATAACAATTTCATATGGGTACAGTGTTGCATGACCATGCAATTGTCATTCAAGCTTCAGCAGCGCTGGAAATTGGCCTGGGCAGGAAGGGGGTATAAGTGCCCTGTAGGCTTGTGGTTAAAGTGGTAGTAAAGGCAGCCAACCAAATCCCTAAAATCAATGTAGCCAGTACGCCAAAGCTTTTAAAATGATTCTGCCTTATTAATTATCCCCCCATCTGTTTTTTTTTTTTTTTTTTTTTTTTTTTTTTTATATTTTAGCTGCATATTTTGTTTTGCATGTCTCGTATCCGAAGCCAGCGCCATATTTTCTGTTGATTTCTGCATCTAGACTCTTATGTATCTTTTGCCCTTTCTGTCAGTAATTGCTGAAATCTCATACATGGGCTTTGTTGTTCAAGCCGCCAAGTGCTGTACTTTCTCTCCTGTCTGCTTGTTCCATGATCTATGGCTGTGTTTACATCCCCTTGTGACATTGCAAGTCACATGGGGTGTTTCAGGAAGTTGTGAATGGGGTTTGACTCTCTGGACTTGACTCTCATCTTCCAAATTTGACTGACGCACACAGAGCATGCCATGAATGAATCACAGCAATTATGCGCATGCGCCGGTGACAACATTAGAGTGAACATCACTGGATTTCTAAAAAACCGGCGAGGGTTAGGCAGAATATATAACCACAACACTGTGTAAATTCTTTAGGAGTGATTTAAATGGAGAAGAGTTAGAATGGAGAGTTTTCTACCACTTTAAGAGTTGTTGCATATTTAAAAGGACTGCAGCTCTCATTTTTATAGTGGTGGCAATTTTATTTTTTGCTAGTTTAGTCCTGACTTGACCTTTCAGGCCTATGTATTTCTTTGGACATTGGGTGGATGTGCCCAGAGGGAACAGCAGATGGAAAATGAGTACTCCGAAGGAAAGCCAGTGACAGACTATGGAGTCACCTTGAAACTGACTCATTTTTCCCTGTAAAAATGTTAAACTGCAAGAATTATTGTTAAAAGAAATATTTTCACAGGAGGCTGACAGGAGGAGTAGGCAGATGAAGGCACTGCTGGATTGTGGGTAGACTTAGTATAATGGTTGAAAATGAATCATATGTAGCTAAATGTGAAAGTTTGCTAACACTGTTCAGAGTGAATTATGTTGCTAAAAGTTAAAATTCTCTGAATATTGAATATACTGCATATGTGATCCATATTGCATCACACACTGCAAGTATGCTAGTATGTCTCGCTGTACATTGATGTCACTATGAATATGCCAAATGTACACACTATCAGACTTGCTCATTTTTGTACCTTTTTTTTATTTTTGAAACTCAATTAAAATGTATTGAATAAAAAAAAATCTCTGAGAAAAAGGCACATTTAAGGTTGGTACA